ATTGCAAGTAGATACATCGTCTTGACATTACATGTGGAATGTTGTTAGCACGTTAGCAGTTAGAAACACGAGGAGTACCATCTTCTGGGATGTGACGTTGTGTAGGCCTACCGGACTGAACGGCGTCAAATTGCAGAGCGCAATACTGTTCATAGACACCGCTGTAAGAACGTCAGATCCAAGAATTGCGAACATGGCGACGGTGCGAAACTTTACGGTTATATCTGAGGTGAAATAAAATAAAATATCAGAATTATAGTAATTATAGAAAGCGCGCGCAGGCGCCGTGTATTACGCTGAACGCCATGTTGCTCTATTAGAGGATACAACAGCGACCTGTTTAAGTTTACCACTTTGAGAGAAGGAAGGGATTAAGTAACCGCCGTAATCAACCACAGTCAGTGTTCATATGGTACAGTTTACCCAAAACTCCATGCTCAGTTCTTCAGATGGTAGTTATAATCCTGATCAAGAAATTATATTTTTATGACCATCATCCAAAATGCCACCTGTTGAGATAAATAATATTGTGGCATATAGACCCATTCATAAGCACGACAGCGAAACAGCGAAACAACGCCCGCTGCTAGGTAACAGATTCTTAATAAGCAAATATACGCAACCGTTACGGGGCACGCGTTACCGTAGTTGAATGTATGAGGGGTGGGTCTCCTTGGCCCTTGCACCGCGATCTATAGTGGTCTGTGGTTGAGGCACTATGCTACAAGCCGGAAGGTCGCGGGTTCAAGTCCCGATGAGTTCATTGGATTTTTTTCAATTGACCTAATCCTTCCGGCCGCACTATGGCCCTGGCGTCGACTCGCCCTCTAACAGAAATGAGTACCAGGAATTAATTAAATAATTTTCCTGGGGAGTAAAGCGCGGCCGGCATGAAAGGCTGACAACCTTAACGCCATATTTGAGCCGAATGTCTAGATAATGTGGGTCCCTCAATGTCTCACAACACTGTGGGCCTTCACAGCCTGGTACAAGGATAGCTTTACTTTTTTTTTTTTACGCAACCGTTACTGACTAAAGCCTTTGCAAACAGATTGCCACGGTAACGAGTCCAGCGCAACAGTAGAAGAACTGTTGGAAAGAATGTTTTCTACGCGGTCCATGACAAGATTTATCAATGGAGCAAGTTTTGGAGTTAGTTATTAGAGAGGGTGGGTTTCCCCGTTCACTTAGACCAATATTCGTCCATTGTGCTTCCCTCTATGATATTCTACCAGTCTCTATGGCCTACCGATATTGGTGCGTACCATTAGTCCCGACCGAGCCAGCGAGTTCGGCCTCCACTAGCTTGGTGTTATCTATAATGCTTCCCCCATCTATCAGAGGAGTTAGAGACTACAGTTGGGCGGGAAACGTCCTTAAATTTGCCTCAGTGACCTCCTTTGGAGATATGATGTTCTTTTACGTGCCGTAAAGCTACAACACGGGACACACGGCTCAAAGTCCCTCCCGGAGGACTTGTTCCCTGAATTTTTCCGCCCTTAAAAATTCGACGGCCTCCGCCGGGTTTGATCCCGCGTACCACGAGTCATGAGGTGGGAACGTTACCTCTAGACTACGGAGGCCACTTAAGTTTTGGAGTTAGTCAGGTTTGCAATACTGGACAAGGCGAAGCCCGACATAAAAAGTATGAGGTTTAAACTTGGCGGCGGTCAAGCATACGACCGTTCAAGTGACTACACTGCCGTTGTAGCGGAAGCTACTAGAAATAGGGCATAATCTGCTGTACTGAGCTTGGACTTACAGAGGCCCTTATGTATTTTATATACATTTATTAACATGTTTACCATGTAATTTGCAAATATTCTTTACATTATGAAAAATGACTTACAGTGACTGACAAAAGAGCTCCAGCTGGAGCTCGACACCAAGACTGACCGACCTACCGTCAGTCGCAAAGTGACTTTGACTTTGAGTTAGTCAGTTGTATGGGAGTCTGTTAAGGGAAGACTTCGTCGGTGCAATTGAAGTGACGGCGGAAGTTGAAGAATCTCCACAGTTAGAAGCCATTACCAGGGAACGACTGGTGAAGACACAGCAGAGTGAGAAGACTTAGAGTGTGCTATAGTGATTTTTAAAATGTGGAGATCAGCGATGGTGTTATAATTACTTGCAGTAATTATAGATCAGCAAATTCAATGTCCAATCCAGTCCCCGTCTATAATCACACACACGTGACGGTATCTTCATATCATATTTATCTGCATTCCATTCTGTCATATTACCGTCCTCTGTATGTCCCAAGGGGTGTGACGTGCCCACCACCATTTGTATGTTTTGTGACCACACAGTGTAAGCTTTTAGCTTACGTCTGTTTCACCTACAGGAGGCCACGCCTGTGTACACGATCCTTGTCCGGTACAGTTCTCATATAATGCTGACGTGGGGATCCTTCCCCCCCCCCCCAATCGATGCAATTCCAGCAACGGTTTTATCTGCATCAACAAGTTCTTGGTTATAGTAGCTCAGGCAGTATATAACTTCGTACTTTCTCACAAGACCCGTATGTGTTACGTGTTTGTGTATGTAATTAATGAAATTGCAATGATTATTTACGTTTAATTTGGAGGGGGGGGCAATAGTGACATCTCCTTTGTCGAACCGTACCACCACCTGGGATGTGACATCAGGTTCCTTCAAAACGGCAATTCTTTACAAGACTAAACGGGTCATATTCCTCCAGGAGGTGGGGCCTGCCATGAGAACCTCACATACTGTTAGCCGTTTTCTTGTTTTAGTCTTGTTATTTTTGCCTAATGAATTATCTTTGTCGGCAGCCGATATCTGCTGTGGTATGAGAAGTACTCCACATGGGACAGACTACAGGAAACAATTCGCTCCTTGCTAGACAAGCTACCAAAAATTTTTGCGGGCTGTGACTAAGTCGTCAGTCTAGAAGAAGAATTTTCTCTGTACTGGCCTGTTGACACTTTATTGGAAGTGATTAGAACACGGACAGTGCTTGCTGCCATGCAAATTTGGAAGTGGAACTTTGAGGGAGATGAAGAGAGAAGTGGAAGGAAGTGACATTTCCTGTTTTGTGTTTCATTCCCTTTCGGAGGAGTGTAGGAGGAGAGAAGATAATCTGGTGCACTAAGTGTTATATCAGTGTTGAATGTTTACACTACCTCATGATTTGTTATGATGGGCTCAAGAACAACCGTCTGGTGGATATCATTGCCAGGTACAAGTACCCAGTTCACCAAGTTGTTTCTCGTTTGAATATCATATAACAAAGAAGTTAATTTGTGTGGTATGCATACCCACAATCAAGCTGTAGTCCGGTTTACAGGCTTCGCTATTTTGTATCAGCTAATACGAGAAACGTTAACTGAAAAGGAAGCTGTGAAAGTTTATCTGTGTCGTGAGATTTGAGGTTTCCACGGCATGTGGATGTGAAGGTGCTGTCGTCAGGGATGTGATACTTTATAGTCTCTAAAATACCATCGTTTCGATTGAACCTTCTGTTTGAGGAAGAAATTTTCGTTTTTGTTTTTGTTGACGTTCGGTGTGAAACCCGTTTGCCACAGCGTGTCACATTTGCATTCCATTTATTTCCACGCCTCGCTGAAGCACATGAAGTGAACGTCTCAGCAGGTGGTCGATTCTACCTTTCAGATCGTCTGTTTTATTGATCTTCACACATAATGCCCCCTAGTTGTATAGTCCTATAGGAGAGGTCTGGCAGGGGAATGTCCAGCAATCGAGTTGCGGGAAGTTCCTTCCAAACTCCCTTACCTGATGTACCACTGCTGGAAGTATTCGTTCAGACCTTCACGAGCCGTCTTTGTGTAGTAGAGTTCAGCTGTATGACGTTAACAATTTGTTGCTTTGTGTTGAACTTCTTATGTCGCACGAAGTTTCGTCATGTTCAGAGTTTGGTCTCGAAAGTTTATATTAACATTTATCACGTCAGTGGATTGAAAGAGGAGGTTCGAAACCTTGGCCGTCTTGACCTTTGTACCTTACTCAGCCGCTTTTACTTATGGGACTGTCATTTGTGGCTTGACAGTATGTACCATTTGAGGAGAATAATCGAGGCCTACTCCAGGACTACCGCATGGACATGTCCAGAGTAACAGAGATGCTAGGAACGCAGGTAAACTGTCGCCGTTTCTCTTCTGTTTTGCGTTTTGTTTATGCTCGTAGTGTTAGTCGGTATAGTGACTGGCTATGGGCTGGATGACCAAGGGGTCGGAGTTTTGAATAGCAGTAGGGTTAAGAATTTTCTCCACATTGCCCATACCGGCTCTGGGGCCCACCAAGCCTTCTGTCCAATGGGAACCGGGGACACTTTCCCTGGATGTAATGCGGCCGGGGCGTGAAGCCAACCACTCACCTCAAACTAGTGCCAAGGTTAAGAAAACGTGGATCTATACATGCACCCCCCCATACGTCTTCATGGCATAATGCTTAATTAATTAGGCACAGGGATAACTACCTTTTTATTATTTATGATTGTAGTGTTAATTGTTACAAAATAGCACAGCGTGGAAACCTTGCTATTATTATGAGACACTGTGCGTTGTGAGGGTGTGTGCACACGTGTGCCTGAAAACGGGAGACTGTTCTTCCAGGTCCCTTGCAACAGTAGGGAATCACATGATTTAGACATTGGTTCCATATTCAGTAGTATCTTTTCAGATTTTGAGTAATATTTTCCTTTTGTTAAGTTGGCCTGCCCGTTAAGTTTAGTATGAAACGGGCCACAGAATTGTTTTGCTGTTCTCCTGTATTTCAAAAACAACAGTTAACAGCAGCCCCTCTCATGCTTTCAATATTAAAACATATATGTAATTTGGCATTCTTTCTCAGTATGTGGAGGAAGTTCAGATGTCACTGAGGTCTCATTGTGTGAAGTGAGAATTTAGAATCTTATAAACTAGAATTCATGTTATAAAGAGTTAATCCTTCAGATTGTAAGGTGATTTTATGGTTTGATTTACATAGCTGTTTGGTTATATGGGAAACTGTTATTTCAGATGAACCCAGGATGCGGTCTGGATCCTGGGATGACTCTGGCAGTGCAGGTGGACACATTGTTGGCAACCCAGAGTCTGGCGTTTCTCATCGTCGGTTGGACCAGTCTCAGCGTGCTGTGAGTTCTGAAGAGAGCTGGTACTCAGGCGGATCTGACCAAGAATTGTCATCTGGTGATGAGAGCGAGAAACATGAACTCTCGGTAACAAAGTAAGTTAGAGACGTATTTGTGTGCTGCTGTGTCCAGTGGGCAAAGTGGACAGGTGCCTAAGCTGCCCCCATGCTGTGAGCAATGGCCCCATGTGGTTAAACTTTCTCTTATTACTTGTGAGCATCTGACGAATGTACTTGCAGATCTCTCTGCCTCTTATTTTTTGTATTTATGTGTATGATATTTCATGCTTCCAGTTTGAATGTTTAAAATATTAAGTACAGTGTGGTCACATTTTATGGGAGGATGCAAACCTGATGACCTCACAAAATCCAAGACAAGTTTTCTTATAGTTTTTGAAGCACAAACATGATTCTTGACTATTTTTGGGGTGGGATTCAAATTGTTTAAAACTTTGTGCATAAAGTGAGGCTTTATTAATGCCATGGTCTTAAAAGCAGCCTTGGTTAGACTAGATGCATTTTAAAGGTTCAATTTGTGTTGCACTTGTTATTTTAATTCTTGCAAGGTGAGAGAGGAAGGGACAGGAACGGATCTACCTGCTGTATACAGCATCAGTTCAGAACATACTGACCACTAAGCATACTTGTGTAGTTCTTGGCATTTCTGTGTTTGTATCTCTACATAACAAAGCATCATTTTAGCTGTGAAACTGACATTGAGTACAATAATATTACACTTCATGGGGACAGTGGCTTGGACCCTGCACAGCCACTGTACTGAATGTTTTGGCTCAGGTAGTAGTAGCTGATTCCTGCTGCTGCCACTTGCAGTCCCCCCCCCACTCAATGAATAACATGTGGATTCTGAATTTCTCAACAGTGAATATTTTCTTAAAAAAAAATGGTTTTGGCTGATTCTTTTTCCGTTTTACACTTTATGTTTAAAACATTTTAACATGTATCCAAATTTTGTAACCAGAGTATCCAGAATGCAGGATGCACCATACCAGGATTTCAGCATCCATCAGTACACCAAACTGTTTTGTGTTCACATGATTTTCGTGCATTGCTGAAATAAGATCTCTTTGGTAGGGTTTCATTTTATTTGAAAGCATGTAGAAGAATTTGACAGCAGTGCTGAAAGGATTTTCAAAAAATGAATTCCAGCTGTAGACTGAACAGGTTGTATAGTGGTAATGCTCTGCGTTTGTGTTTGGGTGGTGTGAGGTTCGAATCTCAACCATAACATTGACTATCCTCAGTGTTTAGGGAGAGGGATTGGCCTCATGCTGTTGTACCTCGATTGGGCCACACTTTCTTTATTCCAGATTATTATCAATTAACCTTTTATCCTTCCATTATCCTGCCTTTTAATTCTTTGGACTATATATATATATATATACTGACAGAATGATAAAATAACAGAAATGGTTGATGTGTTGGGATGTACAAGTATAAAGCCAGAAGGTGACCACATGCAGTGTAGATGAGTGGTGATAGAGATATATGTATCTCAGATGTATTAGGGCTGCAGGAATGATATGTACAGATATATTTCTTTGCATAATCGGTCATTAGTTGTTGTGTAATTGACATTACAGTTATAATTAGAAAGTGGTCCCTGCTCAGAACCCCCTTCATACCTAGGCTTTCTTTGCTGCATCATGTCATTTTCTCTGTTCATAGAAGCAACGGTCAGCTGAAGACAACTCTTAATAAAGCCCGCACGCTATGTGACAAGTGGAGAGGTGGAGGTAGGCAGACCTCAGAATCCAACTGTACACCTCAGTCAGGAGGAGGTGATCTTGCAGGACAGGGCCGCTTATCACGGTGGTTTTCAATTCGTCGAGGATCAAGCAACCAGTATGATGTTGATAATACAGAGAAGGTGGCTGGCAGTGGCAAGATGCCCTTGTTACCAGAAGTGAGTTAAAACAGAATGATCCTTTACTCCATTGGTGAGAATGCAGTTTGTATGTGTAGGTGTGTTACAAGATTCGTCTGTGTTCACGTTTATCTATGGCCATTTTAAATTATCATACCTTCAGCTTGTAGAACAGTAAGTAATTTTTAAATTGTGGGAGGATTTGTGTTAGATGCATACTGCACATACTTGCATGCTCGCTCTTTGACTGTACAATTTACATTCATTGTTCCGGATCTGTTATAATTAGCTGATTATTGTGCTTAAGTTTAGTGCCACAAACTGCCATTAATGCTGCAGTTAATCATCATCCAGAATTTAATTAATTTAATTATTACTTGTTGTTGTTTGGTGTCCGTGATTAGCTGAGATTATGAAGTGTCAGGCCACTGCAAGTGCCTGAATGATCTGCAGTAAATTTTGATGTGCATAGCTCAGTCTGTTATGGAGCGATGAAATCCTGTGTCTGGTGTGTAATGGGCAAATATTTTAGCAGCATCAGAAGGTGGTGAATTGTTGAACGAATATGTAAGGTGGTGTAGCTGGTATGAGGAAGTTACTGTTTATTTCACAGTATGATCAGATATGTGTGCCAAAGTATATCACTGAACAGGTGAAATGCTTGAAAACCAGATCTTGACTCTGCCCCAGGATATATTATGTTTAAAGTAACATGCAAAAAAGCCTTCAAATTTTGTGCACATTATGTATTGTTTAATATTGATTCTAAGCAAAGTACTTAAGTCCTACCTACGTGGTATCCATGCATATGGAATTCTTATGCAACCACCAAAAAATTTAAAGAAAATTTACTGTTGCTTTAAAGTTACTTCAGAATCATAGCTGCACTGTGCATACATTCATCCACCATGCAGTAGTTCTCTCAGACGCAACTAGCAGTGCTCCCCATTATCATCTTGTGTGGCTGCCATTGTAGTTGTGATGATCCTTTGGATTATTATGGGTTCTCTAAGAACCTTGGCTGTCATAGATAACAGAACATTTCATTTAGTTTATAGAAATGCATGAATTATAATTCATATAGAACATAGTTAGGGGTACGCCGTAATGTAGTTGGTTGAGGCACTAGCTGGAAGGTCAAAGGTTCAAGTCCTGATGAGGTCATTGGATTTTTTCAATTGACCTTATCCTTCTGGTTGCACTATGGCCCTGGGGTCTACTCTGCCTCTAACATGAATCAATTCAATAATTTTCCTGGGGTTAAAGCANAGTCCTGATGAGGTCATTGGATTTTTTTCAATTGACCTTATCCTTCTGGTCGCACTATGGCCCTAGGGTCTACTCTGCCTCTAACATGAATCAATTAAATAATTTTCCTGGGGTTAAAGCGCGACCAGCACGTTAGAAATAGGGCATAATCTGCTGCTTTGAGCCTGTTGTCTAGATAATGTGGGACCCTCAACATCTCACAACCCTATGGGCCTTCACGGCCTGTTACAGGGATAACTTTACTTTTACTTACTTTTATAGAACATAGTGCCTCATGTCTGAAGCAATAAGAATCTAGTCACATATCTTCAAGCGGAAGGAAATTAAGAGACGTGCGAGGCAAAGCCGTGTGCTGTACCAACATTATTTTGTTGTGGTGAACCGTGGAGAGTACAAGGAACTGTTGAGAAAATATTGATATCAGCAGATAGGCATTGCAATCAGAGGACTGAGAGTTGCACACTTTTGGACTGTGGAAGAAGGGAAGAAATTCCACAGGAGTAGTAACAGAATTCATAGAACAGTATAAAATTAAAAAAGACTGGAAAGATCATGTTGGCAGGATGCGCTCTTGTCAGGATTCCAGAATAGATCTTAAAATGTGTATGGAGAGGCCTCTGAAACTGAAGGATTCTATTTCAGTAGGCTTTTAATAATAGGGTGAAATGAATCCAGTTTTTCTTCCTTTCCAATCTGTGCATATACTGCCTTTGGAAACTGTTAGTGAAACAGTTGGCTGTTATTAACCTCAGTTATGACTTGTTGAGAATGAGACTGTGATGAAACTTTTCTCTTGACTGTCACAGGTGGAGGAAGACTCAGCAACAAGCTTTGCTGACTTGCCATGTGCATTCCAGCGACGACAGTTGCCTCCCTCACTGCCTCCTGCTCCAGCTGGACTCACCCCTCAGCAGCTCAAAAGGCGTCACATTGTGGCCGCCATAGTTCACAGTGAGAACTCTTACGTAGCGACCCTCCAGAGGCTTGTCAATGTATGTATACAGAGTAGAGCACCAGATTTCAGGTGAATATTGTGGTGTATCTGGAGGCTGAAACCAGTCTCCATCTTCAGAGTAGTAGTGAGTGAAGTCAGGAAAGTGACAGGTTATGTAGTAGATGTGGTATTTTTGGCCAGCAAGACAACAGATTTATCAGAAATTAAACCAGTCTAATACCACTGTCTTACACTGGTTCTGTTTAGTGACTGCTACATGTTTTTGATCCATAGTTGGATCATTATCAGGCAGTACTCTTATTTGTGAATTACCTTAAGACATCATGCATTATTGAATTATCCTAATATGGATCCATATTAATGTTAGTTGTTAAAATCATTATGATACTTGCAATTTTGGCTAAAATTTTTTCGTGTATGTTTGTTCTGTCATTACGATGTTAGTTTCCGTGTTTCTTGTCCTGTATTTGTAGATGATTGTATCTTCCAGGTTTTGTTGTTATGTGTGTATTTGGGTTAAAATTTTATTTTTATGTTTTGTTCCTTGATGTGTTGTAGGTGATAATATCTTCTGGGATTTGTTATTATGTTTTTATATGTATTATGTGTGATACTCTCATATGATGTTATTACTAGTTTTCTTATATATGTTTCTCATTGATTTCCTTGTATGTTGTCATAATTGAGTTGTTTTCTCTTTGGAGTGTGTTGTATACTTCTTTATTTAAGGATGTTAGTTCTTAAGTTCATGGTTCAGGGTAGACACTGGGTGGGGGGAGGGATGGGTCATATGGGGACAGGAGCATGAGCAGCCAACCAGAGCCAGGGTTGAACGAGGAGATGGGGCCTTGGTTGGTCCAGTAGGGACTGTGACTGGTGGACATGGCCATTTGCTCCGGCATAGGAAGAAAGAAATACAACAAAGGACCATTTTCAGGTTCACAGGCAGAGGAAGGCCAAGTGAAGACTTTGTCATGGAATCAGTGTTCCTCCATTCCTTCAGGATGTGAATGGGATGCTTTCATGGCGTTCTCAACTAACTTTCCTGTTGCCATTGTTTGGGTGGAGCTCTGATCCAGTCCATGTATCTGGGTTTATTGACCAGGCTATGGTGCCAGACTACATGGTGTCATAACCCAGAAAGTCACAGTGTACAGTATTAGGATTTTAATGTTTGTGATGCATGTTTTGTTTTTAAGCAAATCATCCTGCCATTAGAATGCTGCTTAGTGTAAATGCTTTCTGTTTGCTTTTCTGCTGTAGGATTATAAGAAGCCCCTAGAAGAAAGTAGTCCACCAATACTTAGCAGCTCTAAGATATCAACCTTATTCCATCGCTTGCCGGAGATATTACAGTGTCACACGTTGTTTCGAATTGCTCTGGCGGAGAGCATTCGCAACTGGGATCATGATGAGAAGATAGGAGATGTGTTTGTGGCAAGCTTTTCCAAAGCAATTGTGCTCGACATCTACAGTGGATTCATCAACAATTTCTCTGTAGCCATGGATCTAGCAAAGATGGAAGCTAAGCGGAAGTCAGCACTGGCTGATTTCCTCAAGGTAAAATTATAAGTAACTCTTATTCTTAAAATTTCAGTGGACATCACAATTGCAGTATGTTATATTTACAGTTTTTTTTATTCATAACCTGTTTACTTATATTGTGATTTTTGTAAACCCAGTAACCATTAACTGTGGTCTTATTTGAAAATTTATGTCACTATTATCTGGTTTCCCATTGCAGGTGAAACAGATCAGTGCGCACGATCGCTTGTCTTTCTTCGGACTTATGGTAAAGCCTGTGCAGAGGTTCCCGCAGTTCATTTTGTTCCTGCAGGTTAGTTGTTCACACATATTCTGTCTATATATAATCCTCTTGTTACTACATTCATAGTGAAGTCTGTCCAGAGACTACTACCTCAAAAGCCCATTTGTTACTGTATGTACACCTACTTTAATGTAATAAAAACTCTGCATATGTAAAATATGCACACGCATCATTTGCACCCTTATTAGCCCCTGTTCATGGAGTGAGATGCCGACAGTGTTTGGCTTCTCTCTGATAAGAAAATTGACAACTAGTACGTAGTCTAATTGTAATTTTTCTCCACCCTTTAAAAGTATTACTAATGCAGTTAGTTTACTTAACATTACACTGCAACAGCTCCTTAAAGTGGTGTCCTCCAACATACACACACATTTCATGCCAGTGTAACAAATTCTTTGACACGCATTGAAGCTTTCCCTCTGTGATTTGTAGGATAATGTTCTGTATGTTATTCTCTGAGACTTCCAAAGTATGTGGGGCTTTTACTGTGAAACTCCTGTTTCAAGTTGCACCACAGATAAATGACACACGCATTCAGATGTGGGGAGCACGAGGCCATAGTGTTTGTTCATGAAAAGCAACATGTTTGTAGTGTTCACATCACACACCATGTACTAGCTTTTGGGTTGTGCAGTGGGATCTTTTGGGTAGCAAGTGGATATTTTGGTATTGCAATGGATTGTGTTCTGTGATTGCCAGTGAATTTTATGAACACATTTGTCATAAGATTTCTTCTTATGACATAATCCTGAACAAGAAGGTTTGTTATAAGCACAGTGGACTCACAGCCAACTGGTCACAGAAACGAATGTGTAGTGAGTGACAGGAATGAACGGTGCACCCATTATCAAGCTGGCTATGTAGCAGCAGACTGCATGTGTTTGACACACGGGTTTACTGTGTGCTGATTGCTGATTGCTGAAGACTGTTTTGAAAGTAATTACCACATTTTGAAAGTAATTACCACATGGTTG